CTTGATATGTGTTTATTTCCGTAAACACGTATTGCGATCTGTGTTAATTTCCTTAAATACGCTTTTCAATTTTTAAACACACATGTCGAGTTATGTACAACGAGGTACATTTACATTTGTATTAACACGTATTTCGAGAGCCCGTTTTCTTAGCGCATTTTGAGTATTGTCCATTTTCTTAAGCATGCATGTCGAGCTGCGTCTATTTCTTTAACACGCGATTCGAGTCTGCCCATTTTCTTAAACACGCATTTTGACTGCGTTGCATTTCAAGCTATATCCATTTTCTTTAGCATTTTGAGCTGTTTTCATGTTCTGAAACATGCATTTTGAGCTATGTCAATTTTTTTTATTACGAATACAAAGTTGTGTACATTTTCATTAACACGCATGTCGAGTTGTGTCCATTTTTTTAAACACACATTTTGAGTTCAGTCATTTTTCTCGAACACATATTTTTAGCTGTGTTCATTTTCTTAAACAAGCCTTTTCAGCTGCGTCTATTTTTGCAAACACGCATTTTGAACTGTTTTCATTTTTGTAAGCACACATCTTAAGAGCTGCCAATTTTCATAAGCAATATCCATATTCGAGCAATATTCAGTTCTATTTCGAACTGAGAGCATTTTCTTAAACACATATTTTGTGCTCTGTAGCCTTGTAACTTGTAATTATGAACCTAATCCAGAAGACTGGAGAACTCCTGGATCAAGCATTGTGAGAAAGGGTGCCTTCATGGAGGTTTTTTTTTATGGAACTAACCAGCATTTGCTTTACATGGGGAGGTAGATTACGACAATCTCCAATGGTCAGCCTAATGGCCAGGTAACTCTAACCTATGATCCCTCTACCACTGAGATTATTTCACGTCAGCACTGTGGTCTTTGTAAGCCGGATGCGGAATTCGTATCGACCAGTCATCGATGGGATTTTAACCTGGTTCACTCATTGAAAGGTGTCTATCCCCTGAGTCATCACCGCTCTGCCAACGAATATTTTTTATGTTTTTTAAAATTCTTATTTTATAACCGTCGTTGAACACCGACCGTGGAACACCCGGAGGTTTAGCGTTTACAACTTCCAATGTTCAACTCCGTAGCCTTGTAATTTTGAACCCAATGCAGAAGACCAGGGAACTCATGGATTAAGTATTGGGTGAAATTTGCCTTCGTGGAGGACTTTTTGGTGAAACTAATCCTCATTTGCGTTTCATGGAAAGAGAAACTACGAAAACCTCCCACGATTAGCTTGATGGCAAAGGGACTCTAAACCACGATCCGTCTACAACTGATAATATTTTTCATCAGGACTGTAGTCGATGCGAGCCGGGTACGGAATTCGTATTGACCAGCCATTGCCTTGATTCGAACCCGGTTCACCTCATTGGAAGGCAAACGCTCCATCCCCTGCTTCAGCGTGGCTCAAATAAAGGTGCATCGGCCACCATTGACAACTAGTATAAGTTTGCAAACGATGTCGTTTCATCTACTCCAGGAAGAGTGTCTTATAGTGGTTCGCCCTTTGCTTTGTGACTTTTTATGCTTGAAGTTAAACAGTAAAAGTTGATTATTTCAGCAGATTACTCACCTTTAAAGTTGTTAGTTTTTGTTTTCTAAGATTCTGCATGAACTAATTGTGAAACTTGAAAAAATGTGAGATCGTATTTTATCAGAGTAAGTAACGTTTAATATTCTCGCAAATAATTTTTCAATTATCATACGTATTCGAAATATTTGTGCCTCGATTAGTATCTTATGTTTAACATGGGCAATTTTATGTTATGAGGGTTGATTATTAGTTTTATCCAAAGCACTTTTCCTAATAAGAAAAAAAAAGGATTTGACTCCTTAAACAGACGCCTATATTTTCAGGTGCAGCTTCAGTAAAGCTTCCGACTGAGAAACCAAAAACTGCTTCATTACAAACTGCTACATCCCAACTTTTAAAAGCTGAGAACTGGCATAGGTTTCTTTAAAGTCTTTATACCTACTTAAGAGTACTCTGCCGTTTTACAAATCCGTGTGACTCGAATTATTAATCAAATGTCAGTGTTAAATGAATTTTAATTTATTCGTTAATCTACATTTCGAAATAAGGCAAACATGCCATAAGTAATCCGTTTGTTGAAACTAAGCGTTTCGAATTACTACGTGACTGGAAATACCACCCACAGAATATGAGATACTCACTAATGCCATTTGATTATTTACCAATTGTGTTTGCGAGGAAAAGCCTTTAAGTTCCCCAATGCATGATGACACAAAAGGCTTAACCTAAATCCTGTTGATGGAATTGACATGAAATCACTCCATTCTCAATTTTACCGGTGGACATATATTTTGTTTTATGATTAGTTTATAATACCCGGTTTGCTCTCCATTTACGATATTTATCACTTCCATGCGAAACCGAAGAAAAGAAAAAAGGTTTATCATTATTATTATCTCAATTTATATAAAGTTTTAATTTTTATAAAGTTTTATTATATCAAGTTTCAATTTATATCAAGTTAGGTCACAAGAGGATAAGTCACTATTATTATATCAATTTATATCAACTTTTAATTTATATAAAGTTTTATTATATCAAGTTTTAATTTATATAAAGTTTTATTATATCAAGTTTTAATTTATATTAAGTTAAGATTCAAAAGGCTTAACTAATTCCTGTTGCTGTAAATGACATGAAATCACTCCATTCTCAATTTTACATGTGGACAAATATTTTGTTTTATGATTAATTTATAATACCCGATTTGCTCTCGATATACCATATTTATCATTTCCATACAAAAACGAAGAAAATAAAAAAAAATATAAAAGGTTTATCATTATTATTATCACAATTTATATCAAGTTTTAATTTATATAAAGTTTTATTATATAAAGTTTTTATTTATATAAAATTTTATTATATCAAGTTTTAATTTATATCGAGTTAAGTTACAAAAGGCTTAATCTAAATCCTGTTGCTGTAAATGACATTAAATAACTCCATTTACTATTTTACTGGTGGACAAATATTTTGTTTTGTGATTAGTTTATTATACCCGGTTTGCTCTCTATATACGATATTTATCATTTCCATACAAAAACGAAGAAAAGAAAAAAGGTTTATCATTATTATTATCTCAATTTATATCAAGTTTTAATTTTTATTAAATTTTATTATATCAAGTTTTAATTTATATCGAGTTAAGTCACAAAAGGCTTAACCTAAATCCTGTTGCTGTAAATAACATGAAATAACTCCATTTACTATTTTACCGGTGGACAAATATTTTGTTTCGTGATTAGTTTATAATACCCGGTTTGCTCTCTATATACGATATTTATCATTTCCATACAAAAATGATGAAAAAACGAACAAATGGAGTATTATTATTATTATCACAATTTATATAAGGATTTAATATTTTAATATATTTTTTGATAATTTTAAATTTTTTTTAGCTTTGTGAGGAGTTTCAAACAAATGTAAGTGCTCTTAAACCTCATAATCGCACACGAATAGAGCTGCTTATNATCATTATTATTATCACAATTTATGTAAGGATTTAATATTTTAATATATTTTTTGATAATTTTAAATTTTTTTTAGCTTTGTGAGGAGTTTCAAACAAATGTAAGTGCTCTTAAGCCTCTTAATCGCACACGAAGAGAGATGCTTATAAAGAGTTTTTAAATTAAGGCTATAGGATCGACATCTGCATGGGAAAATATTTCTACGTAACAATAAATAATAAACTATTTAATAACAAAAATTCAAAATTGAGAAACAGCTAAACTAATTTGTAAGTACCTAATATAAAAATATTTGAGACGGAGAGGTTTTTGCGTTTTTTTTTAATAAAAATTGTGACTGAAAATTTAATTATGTATGCTAATTAAATATTTGTAAATAATAGTAAATATTTTCGAGGAAATATGACGCCTAGATCAATAAAAAACAAACCTGATAAAGCTTGTTTAATTTGCTTGCATCTGCTTTTCTCATCTATCTCGACTTACGAAATTTTTATATTTTAATTATACTTTTTAAATATTACAAATAAAACGGATTCCAAAATCTTAACTGTTATTACTAGGATCATTGATATACTTCAAAATGAGCTGTTTAGTTGATGGATAATAAAATGAGGAATCATAAAAGCGTATTAAAACGATTACTTTAATAAGCAATTACACAAATTGCATGGAAGTTTTATATAGAATTGAAATAGTTCATTGTTATCGTAGAAGGAAAACTGGCATTTAAAGTGATTGATTTTTAAGCAATTTTTTGTTCACTTTTGTAACTAAGTAAGTTTTATATTTTCTTGAAATATCTGGCTTAGACCACTGTAAAATATAAAGCATCTAACATCAATAAAATGTTTCAGGAATGTCTTAACGCACATTTAATCATCAATTAGTGAACAATCATTTCCTTTAATTATTCAAGCTCAAAGTATCGTGCAAGATTAAAAGACCTTAAACTCAAAATCAAAACAATTTGTATAAATTAACACAGATTACACTTTTGGCAATGATGTTTTCATTCTCTCTACAGTGCGCAAAATGAAAAAATTTCGTATGCATAAAAGTTTAATTTCTCAAATATTAATCGACCAGTTTCGCACAAATTTTGTATTTTGTCATTTAAAATTTCATGCTTTAAAATGGCGAAAAAATTGTTATGCATTACAGATAAAAATTATTGACTATTATTAAATAAGATAATAAAAATTAATAGTAAACTATAAAAAAAAAATTATACATGGATTTAGGTTTCGATGAATTAATTGTGTTATTTTGTGAAAGAGTTTCTCGAAGCAAGTTCTTCTGATATAGTGAAATTCAAAAATGTGAAACTATCATTGCTACCAACTTTCCAAACTTTTCTTAAAACTATTAACCGCTCTCCTAACTAAATTCTTGAAACCATATCGTACTACATTGCAACTATACTTCCTTATTTTGAAGGTCTAGTAACCCAAAACGGTTAAAAGAATGTTGTTGGAAATTCCAATTAAAATCATTAATCTATCACTTAATTTCATCTAGTGAGCGCGTGATAATCACGTGCTCAAGGCTAATCCGACTCCTCCCACACACACTGACATTCTGGTTCGAGGGAGAACTGTTTTAGAACTGCGATGCGAAGCACGTTTTTTTTTTGTTGTGTGTGTCCGTAAATATTTTGTGTCCATATGTTTGTGATTGTGAATAAAATTTAATATTGAATGTTTCACTCTCAACTGCAATTATTTATATGATTTATAGAAGTCTATGGATTAATACGAAGTGTTCCCGGCCTTTTGGTGGAGGTAAGCTATCTCCTTTATGATATCTTTTGGTAATACCCAAAATCTGGCATCCCTGCCGGGATCAGAATAGACATACATAGACTTAAGAAATTAGAAAGACTAGAATAGAACTTTATTAGACTTTATGAAACTTTATACGAATTAGATATGTCAGTTGAGAGTGTTAGAAAATTACGAACGCCAGCGAGAAGTAATTTCTCAAAGGCATTGAATAAGGCGTTAGATTTATTGAAAGAAAATGAAAATGATCCCGATATTTTGGCCACACAAATTGTTCTTTTAGAACAGAAATACAAAGAATTGAAAGAATTGGATTTTAAACTTTTATCCATTTTAAGTGATGATCAAACATGCTCGCAAGATAATTTTGATTTAGAATATGACGCAATAACTGTGTACGAAGATAGATTTCTAGAAACCAGTACTAAATTAAAGAGACGTCTGAATATTATAGAAAAACCGAAAATAGAAGAACCCGTGTTAAAAAATTCTACTGAAAATATTAATTCGCCGCGCAAGTTCAAACTTCCTGAATTAGAATTGAAACAATTTAATGGAAACATTAAGGAATGGCTTCAGTGGTGGGGGCAATTCAAAAAAATACACGAAGATTCGGACATTGAGGATGACGATAAGCTACAGTATTTAATTCAATCAACTGTAAAAAATTCGGCAGCGAGACAATTAGTAGAATCATTTCCCCCCTCAGGAAAAAATTATGAAGAAATTATTAAATGTTTAAAACAGCGTTTTGGGAGGGATGATTTGTTGATTGAAGTTTATATTCGAGAACTTCTTGCTTTAGTAATAAATAATTCAAATCCTCAAGGTCAAAAGTATTCCTTAGTCAGATTGTACGATACATTAGAAGGCCAATTGAGATCTCTTAAATCTTTGGGTGTAGCGAAAGATAATTTTTCCGCTATTTTGTTATATCCCTTGATTGAGTCATGTTTGCCAAGCGATTTATTGAAGATATATGAACGGGCGCAAAGTGAATTAAAAACAGAGATTTCTGGAAATGATAGATTAGCTAATCTCTTAAATTTTTTGAAAAAGGAAATAGAATCAGAACAAAAATTATTGATAGCTCGTTCCCCTTTCGGATTAGAAAATCATAACAGAAAACCGATGACTCACCACTTCCAGAGGAATAAGATATCTGCCGCTGATTTAATTAATAGCTCAAAACAAAACGTTTCACATCTGGCAAATTCGAAAGTGGATGAGTGCGTATTTTGTAATAAATCCCATTTAAGTCAAGATTGTAGATATGCTATGAATTTACCATTTGAAAAAAAGAAAGAAATACTTATGGAGAAGGGTATCTGTTTTCGATGCTTAAGTTATAAGCCTAATAGACATATTGCGCGCTTTTGTAAAAATAAAGTTAATTGTTTGAAATGTAATGGGCAACATTTGTTAATTATGTGTAAAATGAATGAAGAATTTCATGGCAATAAAATTAATGAAAAGGGGTCGGAAGAAAAAGTCGTTACGGAAAGCTCTTTAACTAATACTACATGCATGCGTCAGGTTTATTTACAAACATTAGTAGTACAAATACGAGGGGATAATAAAACCAAATTTATTCGGATTCTCATTGATACGGGTTCGCAGCGATCGTACATATCGAAATACGCTGCAACGTGTATGGAATATGATGTTATCGGTGAAGAATCTATTTTGCATTCTCTTTTTGGGGGTGTTAAAAAGGCAGAAAATCATAGAAGATATTTAGTTCATATAAGTAATGTAGATAATAGTTTTCATTGTAATTTTGAGGTATTGGATCAGGAAGTAATTTGTTCTAATATTTCTAGAATAAATTTTTTCCCTCATATAAAAGAACTTAAATCTCGTAGCATATTTTTAACTGATACTACACAGGGTTATAATGATCAGTTGTTGTATCAATCTTCTCCCTTAGAAATTCATTTGCTAATTGGGGCTGACATCGCTGGCAAACTGCTCAGTGGGGGAATCGAGGAACTTAGTTCAGGATTGGTTTGCGTAGGAACTAAATTAGGTTGGACTCTAATGGGAAAGAATAATAAGGCAGAAGAACAAGATAGTACAAATACCGTCCTATCTTGTCATGTAAATGATGCGAATATTTCAGATTTATGGCGGTTAGACACACTTGGTATTGCTGACCCCAGTGAGAAAAAAACTAGGGTAGAATTAGAACAATCGGCGAAAGAGCATTTTTTCGAACTGTAACTAGAGACTCTGAGGGGAGGTATCAAGTTCGATTGCCCTGGATTGATGGACATCCCCCTTTAAAAAATTGTAAGGGTATTTCTGAGAAAAGACTCGAAAATTGTGTAAAATCCCTTAAGAAATTAGGCAAAATTACTGAATACGAAACAATTTTTGATGAATGGTTAGATCAGGGTATAATAGAGGAGGCGCATTGTTCTGAACCAGAACACTATTTACCTCACCGCCCTGTTTTTAAAGAAAATTCGACAACGAAGGTTAGACCCGTCTTTGATGGCTCCGCTCGAGATAAAGAGTCACCTTCTATCAATGACTGTTTAGAAAAGGGCCCCAACTTAGTAGAACTTATACCTTCTGTCATAAACAGGTTTAGAATAGGAAAATATGGAGTTGTGTCAGATATTGAAAAGGCATTTTTGCAAATCGGACTCCATGAACAAGATAGGCCTTACTTAAAATTTTTATGGTGGCAGAACGGTAAAAAAGAACATTCGAGAATTTTTCTGCATAAAAGGGTTGTTTTTGGAGTATCCTCGAGTCCTTTCTTATTAGGAGCTACTCTTGAATTCCATTTGAATAATGTTTCTTCTGAATATAAAGAAACATCTCAAAAACTTTTGAAATCCTTTTATGTAGACAATTGTGTACACAGTGTTGAAAATAAAGAAGAATTAGTTAAGTTTATTCATGAATCACAAGAAATTCCCGCTTCCGCAAAATTTAATTTACGTGGGTGGGAGCATACTCTTTTTGAGGAATTTGAATCTGAATTGATCGAAACCAAAACAGTTCCTGTATTGGGTTTAAAATGGGATAGTAAAAAGGACGTTTTATCCATTGATTTAAGAGATTCAGATCCCATTGCAAATAATCAATCAGTAACTAAAAGAAATATTTTGTCAACCGTACACAAAATCTTTGATCCTATTGGATTTACCTGTCCTGTAACCTTAATACCAAAATTAATATTACAAGAATGCTGGAAATTGAAATTGTCTTGGGATTCTGAGTTGCCATCTTGGATGGCTAAGAAATTTATTAAGTGGAGAGATCAACTCAAAATTTTAAATGATATTTCTATCCCCAGGTGTTTAGATAAAAATGAGGGAGTTAGAGAAATAACATTGCACGTATTTTGTGATGCTTCCGAAAAAGCATATGCTGCTTGCGTATTTTTAAGGAGTGAAGCTTCAGACACAATTACTTGTCAATTAATACAAGCTAGGTCAAGGGTCGCCCCACTGAAGCCAATATCAGTATCTACGCTAGAACTTTTAGCATGTAACATTGGAGCAAGACTTTTCCAATCTGTGAAGGAAAGTTTACGAATGGAAAAAGTTGACACACGATACTGGTCTGATTCCAGCAATGCGCTTTACTGGATTAAGAAGAATGAAAACTGGGCTACTTTTGTGTTTAATCGTGTGAAAGAAATTCGAACTTTGACCGACCCAGATGATTGGAATCACATCTCCGGTCAATCAAATCCTGCCGATTTGCCTTCCCGAGGATGCAGTATTGAAACTTTAGCAAAGTCTAACTGGTTTCAAGGACCCTCCTGGTTGCAAAACCATCCTGACTATTGGCCTAAATCCAATATTTTTCCTGATGAAGAAATTATAAATGTAGAAAAAAGAAAAACAGTTGTAAGCGTCACAAATACAGAAAATGAAGACAAAATTTATGATCTTTTCTCCGATTACTCTAAACTACTAATAGTTATTTCTTGGGCTTACAGATTTTTGGATAATTGTAAGAAGAAGAAAGATGCTAGAAAATTTGGAAACATAACTGCGGAAGAAAGGAACAGAACTGAAATTTCGTTGCTAAAAATAGCACAGCGAGAATCTTTCACGGGACCTCATGATAAACGACTACAGAATCTCCAAGTTCTTGAGGATGATAATGGACTTTTTCGAATTAAGACTAGACTCTCGTTAAAAGACGACTTGGAGAATTTCAAATTTCCTATTGTGTTACCAAGTGATCATCCAATAGTTGAAAAGCTTGTTCACTGGAAACATTGTTCTCTTGGTCATGCAGGTGTTCAGATTGTAATGACCCAACTCAGAGAAGAGTTCTGGATTCTGAAGTTCAGAAAGACTGTTCGCAAAGTTATCAGAAAGTGCATAATTTGCAAACGATTCGATTCACGACCAATCGCAACTCCAACAGCTCCATTGCCTGTTGACCGTCTAAGAGCAGCTTCTGTATTTGAAATTACAGGAATAGATTTTACAGGGCCTCTCTATCTGAAAGAAAATCAGAAGTCGTGGATTGTCATTTATACTTGTGCTGTGTTTAGAGCAATACATCTGGAACTGACTACTTCACTGTCCACTGAAAGTTTTCTACAGACTTTTCGAAGATATGTGGCTCGTAGAGGAAGACCAGCTATCGTTTACTCTGATAACGGAACAAACTTGGTTGGAGCGAACAATCTTCTTAAAAAGATTAATTGGGATGCAGTAGTTAAAAACAGTGCAGTGAATAAGATTAACTGGAAGTTTATCCCCCCATCTGCACCTTGGTGGGGTGGCTTTTGGGAACGTTTGATTGGAATTCTCAAGCGAATACTTCGCAAAGTCTTAGGTCGGACGTCTCTCAACTTCGAAGAATTAAATACTGTCTTATGTGATTGTGAAAGTATCATCAATGGACGACCTCTCACGTACGTCAGTGAAGATATAAGTGATCTAGTGCCTCTTACTCCCAGCATGTTCCTTCAAGAGGTCAGAGAAGTTGGACTACCAGACCTGGATCTCTTGGACAGCAAATCTTTGAATAAAAGGTTTGCCTACCGTCAAAGATTGAGACAAGATCTGACGAAACGTTTTCGTTCGGAATATTTGGGACAGCTGAGACAATTCGATAGAAAAATGCGAAGTTCTTCACCTATCAAAATAGGCGATGTTGTGCTGATATCCAGTGACAACACAAAGAGACTGGATTGGCCTCTAGGGAAAGTTATCGAGGTGTTCACGTCACGAGATGGAAACATCAGACTCGTAAAGTTAAAGACAAAAAAGGTGGTGAAGTTCTACGATCAACATCGAGGCTGTTTCCCCTTGAAGTTGGGGAAAACGAAAAGGATGTTTTGGAAAAGCGTATTTGAGTTTCTTGGTGTAAAAACTCAAAGGTGGGAGGATGTTGGAAATTCCAATTAAAATCATTAATCTATCACTTAATTTCATCTAGTGAGCGCGTGATAATCACGTGCTCAAGGCTAATCCGACTCCTCCCACACACACTGACACTCTGGTTCGAGGGAGAACTGTTTTAGAACTGCGATGCGAAGCACGTTTTTTTTTGTTGTGTGGGTCCGTAAATATTTTGTGTCCATATGTTTGTGATTGTGAATAAAATTTTATATTGACTGTTTCACTCTCAACTTCAATTATTTATATGATTTATAGAAGTCTATGGATTAATACGAAGTGTTCCCGGCCTTTTGGTGGAGGTAAGCTATCTCCTTTTCGATATCTTTTGATAATACCCAAAAAATGTATATTTATTCCGACAAAGTACGTTTTTGTGTCTGATTTCGTTACTTAAAATATCGTATTCACTAATTACTTTAGGCTCTTGAGCCCTTAAGATCCAGTTCTAATACGTGAAAATTCAATAGTTAGATCAAAAGTTATTCTGTTGTTTACTTATAATCAATAGAGCTTTAAGTAAACTTTTTGCCCGTAATATGTATCGCATATATATTAAGTTAAGAATGACAAAATGTAATCGTTACTCAGAAATATACATTTGATTATTAAGCAAGGTATATATTCGATTGTAATTTTTAAAGATGCAAGATATTTCTTGGAGTCAGAAATGCGATGCAAATAGTTATAAATGAATGCGAAGTTTCAAAAAAGTGGTACTTTTGGAAAATTAAAGTTTTTTTTTTTTGTAACTAAAATGATTTCTGCACATTATTTTAAAATAATGTTGATTTTTTATTTTAGTTATTATCATCTATAATTTCATACTTAAGGTAACATTCGAAACATTTTGTCAATATTTGCTTAGAGACGTTTAAATTGCATGGCAAGGTTTATAGAGAGAACACTGTTTTCATGTCTTATAGTTTATATTGAGTATGGTTATTTGCTGCATACGAAATACCAAAGTCTTGAATATAGTAAAAATTGAGTTCGAAATCAAAATAATAAGTATAATGAAGTTGATTTACTGAGATAAACAATATTCTCAAATGATATTTATAAATTTTCGTACGTTTTGTCAATTCTTTTTCATCTAATATATTAGTTTACTTTTCAATAAACAGATCTAACCTCGTTAAAGATTCCCCACTACTGCACACTGTTTGCATTTTCTTTCTAAAATTCAGGTAAAATATCGGGCAGCAATCAATTGGTCCAATTAACCGTAAAGTTAACGGTAGAGAACATTTTCTACGTTTACGGTTTTTAAAGCATTGAAAGGCTAAAATTTATCATTAGAAGGCTAAATATTATCATTAAAAAGCTAAGTATTATCATTAAAGGCTAAAATTTATCATTGAAAGGCTTTATTATTAATTAGGTAATTCATTAAAAGGCTAAAATTTATCTCAACATGTTTATAAAATTTTAATTCAAATATTTGCATTAGTTTGGGAAATAAATTAACGAATTAGAATATTGACTTTACCTTAGTTTCTAAAATCAATTTAATGTCTAGAAAGATTATGTTCACTGATTTAAATATGAAATTGTATGAATAACGATTTCAAATTTTAAAATATAGATTGCTCTTAACAATTTGGGGGGCGGGGCAGCGAGAAATATTTATAATTTTATAACTTCTCTGTAAATCAAAACAATAGGCAACTCTATAATAGGCAACTCTTCAAAAAAAAGTTCGATTTTTAAAAGAATTACTTAAATTTAGTTGTTTTAAGAATTTTTTTAAATCTTCTCTTTGCATTTATTTTACAAGTTTCAATCTCACTAATGGAATTTTATCTAGAATTAAATCTAATGTAGTTAGTCTTATAATAAACTTTGTGATTCAGAATCTTGTTCCAAACAATCTAATATTTTATCAATAGTAATCTTAATTTAAAAATGTAATACACATAATTTACATACTCTAAGCTTGATTCCCAAATGCAGTTTGTTTTGTAAAACCTAAATTTCTAGATATATCTTTGTCTAAAATATATTGCTTATTTTGATTCTGTTTTAGAGACATTTCTACTTATTTGTTCTTAATGTGTCTCATAAATCTTAATAATCTTAATAAATCTTAAGTGATACACATGCATTTCATTTCTGCTACTGAAAGGTCAAATTAACATTGTAAATATATTCCAAAGAGCTATTGTTTTTTAAAGCCAATAGAATATTGCGCAGTTAAATATTTATGAGCTACGAAAATATAAAAAAGAAATGTAAGTAAGTGAAGCAAAGGAATAATTACGATAAAGCTTGTTCCACTTAACTCTTCGCAGCAAATAAATAAGTAAAGGTAAGCATACATTGTAAAAAAAAGTAGCTCGTTTAACTATTAGAGATAAATTAATAAGTAAATGTAACTCTAAATCATGAGAAAAAATTGAGCTACTAAAGATTTAGAGATAAGGGAATAAATAAATGCAGCGATAAATTATGAAAAAAATTGTTCAACTTAAGATTAAAATGAATGTGGATAATTAAAAGTATCGATAAATTAAAGAGCTTAGTAGATGAAACGGGTAAATGACATTTTCAGGGGTATTTATTATTCAGGGAAAACATAAAGTGGTTGCATCAAATATGGGTATGCTAAATGGAACAGGTTTTTTTTTGTTTTCAATTGAATTTTTACCTAGCCAATCCACAGTAGTTTTGAGTACGCTTACATGATTGTTATTTCAAATTATGGAACAATAAATAAGATAAGCAAAGAGTAATTTTTTTTTCGTCTCTTAATAAATTTATAAAATAATAGATACCACTTTTGTTTAGTACCCTGATCTCTCTAAAAACGTCACTTACCTAGCTCATTCACTAAGCTCCTCAATTATGAAACATTTTGCTTCTATTAACTATTACATAAATTACTGAGTGAAGCTAAAAAAAGATTGGGAAAATAATTCTTCAACTAACTATTTAAGCTAAATAACTGAGCAAAATTATTGAAAACTATTTTATGTTCCAAATAACTATTAGAAGTGAAAAAAACTGACGAGGAAATATTTTACTTAACTATTACAGATAGTTGACTAAGATAAGCCAAAGATAAAGTACAAAAAACTTAGCAATTAGATATAAGTGAAGAGAGTACTCATTGTAAATAAGTTTAAAATAAGCTTAAATTATAAACTTTTAAGTTTAAATATAATAAATAAGTTTAAAAATCGAAACTATTATTTTTTATAATACATTATTTTGCGTCAGTTATAATTAAGTAATAACAAAATTGTAATCATAACAAGTTTACAAGGCTTAAATAACCCCAACAAACTTCCTTTATACTGAAAGGAAATTTAAAAAAAAAAGTAATAACTTTTTAGTAGAAAATAAAACTTGTAATACGTTTTCAAGAGATTAAAAAAGTTTTCAATGACCAAATGGGGACATTTTGAACAACTTGAAAAAATTTGAAGGGTTGTTTTTATTTTTTATTTTAGAAGCATTCCTTAAAGTTTTGGTAAGACTTTTTTTTTATCAAAGTTTTTACTGGCTTCTATTGGAACAGACGCAAGAGAAGTAAGACCAAAGAAAAATTTATTTTCCATATTTTCTATTTCTATATTGTATTTTCTATACTATACTTTCAATAGTCAGCAAACTTTGTAGCAATAGTAAATCAGCGTGAAAATTTTGACTAATGTGTGAGCCAGCATCGTTTTATCCATATTTGCTTGAGTTCAAAAAATGATGTAGAAAAGGTGGTTAAAGAAAAAAGTGGTACATATTTTCTTGAGGTGACAAATATTTTAACATTCAAATGATTTCTTGATATTTTGATTTCATATCCAAATAAGAATATTCATATGATTAATATGTTTTGTTAGACAGAATAATTATATTTCCGAAGAAAAATATTTCGGAGAAGGATGCTAGAGCTACCATATTTCATTCCTTTTTTTCTCATTTTTATTTGAAAAAAAAAGAATATATGAAAATTATTATAAATCAGCTTATCAAAATTCTATAAGTATTATACTATTAGCATAATATGCATTAAGCGTATGAAGTTATAACAATACGTAATTTGCATATAGACATTATACTATACTTATTTTACTGTACGTATTATATGTATAATATAATATTCTAATGTACGTATACTATTCACATAATAACCTAAATTTGTGGATAAATTTAAAAGAAAGAAAGTTAAAAGAACTTAAAACATATAAATCAAATGGTAATTTACTTTATATGATGTGGAAAAATATAGCTTGCCGCATTTTTTTTCCTTAAAAGAAGACATCAAAGGATTCTATGTCATTAAAATTAAACAAATATCCGAACAATTAAAAAAAAATCATAAATTCAATCGATGAATTTCAATTCAATAAATTCAATTTGATCTAGATTTTTTATAGCAATTCGAGTTCTTGTGTGTTTATCTTATACCAAGTTTAAATATTTCCTTGATTCATCGAATATTTCCCTGAGTAAGCAAATACTTTTGCATTAAAAAGAATCTATTTTTTTGATTTCATATCCAAATAAAAACATTTATGTAAATATTTTTCGTTACACAGAAAAATTATGTTTCCGGAGAAATATTAATAATAAAACACCAGTGCTATTACATTTCTTTCTTCCTTTCTTCCTTTATTATTTGGGAAAAAAATAGAGAATCCATGAAAATAACGTCAAAATAGTATGGCAATAAGTTCGCGTGAATCATTAAAATACGTATTATGCTAATTCTTTTCAGACTTAAACGTATTATACTAGTAGCATAGTAGATATAAGGTTATGGATAAAGTTTTAAAAAAATCAGATATGAAGGAGGAAGAGGAAGTTTTTGGAAAGTTTTTGTCTCCGTGTTTAAAAACAATTTTTATTTTTTGAGCAATATATCTGGGAATTAGATTACTATTTTCTTTCCTCCTTGGGGTCATAAACTTCGGAATATGACATTACATTTACATTCATTACAAAAAATTTATAGTGTAAATTTTGTATTTCGTTATTGTTTTTGTGAAAGTAAATAGTTTATAGAT